TAATCAACAAATCTTTTGAGACAGGAGTATTTTCCTCAGGGTTGAAGACATCAGTTGTTTTACCTCTCTATAAAGGTGGAGAGGTCACCAACCCCTCGAACTTCAGACCCATCTCGTTATTATCAACTATTTCAAAATTAGTGAAAAAAATATTGTTGAAATTTTTATCGAATGGAAAATTATTGAATGAATGTCAATTTGACTTCCAAAGCTCTAAAAACACCAATAATGCAATCTTCTCATTTTTGGAAAAAATATACTTGAATCTCAATGAAGGGGAAGCAATTTCTACAGTTTTCTGCTATTTTTCAAAGGATTTCGATTGTGTCAATCATCTACTTTAAAAAAGGAAAATTATCTTTATAAATTAACAATTAAGGCAAAATATAAATGATAGTTCAGTACCACCTCCACAAGCCACATAAACAACAGCTGTGTATTTATATAAAGGAAGATAGGTTAGGTGCACAAAATGTGATATGTCACAGAATGTCTCGGAACTCGGAACATAAGTAAACAGAATAGCACGCCTCTGAAATATGTCATCTTTGTTTGCCTCATACAGGTAACAGATTCATTNTGAATTCCATCAATATTATCTACTGTTTCCAAATCGGCTGCTAATTGTTCACCAAAATTTTCTAAAAATCTTTGTAATCTAGATGGTACTCTACTTACGTTGAATTCTGCTACTTTTGTTTCTTCTATTATTTTTTGGTTACCTATCGGGGTGTCCAATAACATGGCATCGTCGTCTAATGTTATATCTCTGGATGTTGGGGTCCAATTTACATCAGGGGGTTTCCCCCCGCTATTGACACTCATAACTTCCGTAAAATTCAATTTAATTAGCGAAGTTTCTCTAAAAAACCACTATTAATGCATAACTCACTATCGAACGTTTCCGTTAGCTTCGGAGCAAGGCCGTACTGTGTGACAAAAAAGGTTGAAATTATGTGTTAACATCGAAAATTTTGTGAAGAATTTGATGATTCGCGTAAGTGGAATTTTAATATCAATAAAACTTTTTTTATTCATTGTGTTGTAACTCTTTCAATTATATTTATGAATGTTTCCTAATAAGTTGCTATGTGATCAGTTATTGAAGGTGAACTTTTTCTTATATCTGAAGCAATAATCTCTCCAAAAATGTAGTTTTTCATTCGACAAACTCTGATTTTCGCACTTTGTTCTAGAAGTTCCACATAGTAACAAGCTTATAATTGGTAAATCGTGGATTTTCACGATATCTCACCGGCACTGTTGGTGTAAGCATTGTTTTGATTGTAGGATGTGATAAGAGATAAATTCTATTTTTACTTGTAAGTGGTTAATTGAAATTATATCAAATTATGAATTTATTCACCTGAGAAACATGGGTATACTCTGACATTCATAATCATCAGACTAGAGGAGCTGAGGGGTTTAGATCACCACTATCAGTTTCCCAGAAATATTTTCTCAACATAAAATTATATGGAAAATCGTCAAACATGTGAGATTCTTGCATAATCATCAATTCAAAAACAACGTGATGGAACACCTGCTACTTCCATGTTGTTTTTATAGCATCAATGAATATCGATATAAAGTCATCATGTCTACTGATGAAACTTTAACTTCCATCCTGTCATTATGTCATTTCTCTCATAATATATAATTTCATTTGTACATTGTCTGCCATTTTATCATTATCTCTTTGTAGCTGTATTCAATACTTCACCCTAGTTGGGTGTTTGTTCAGTGTTTAATGTTTTATTCAACTACTTTGGTATGACCTGCTACAAACATGAAACTTAATGTAATGTATTCAGATTAAGTTACTTACTCACGTAGGTACTCAATTACTATGAAACATATTGAATCAATAATTGAATATAATAATTATATTCACATATTGAACATATGTGAACATATAATAATAATAATCGCCTTTATTTCTCACATAAATTGTACACTTCATATGTGTGATCATGAGCTAATGAATAGGAGAAAAGAGCGGAGTTCATTTTATTTGGAGACAAGACCTCCACTGAAATGTTCTTCCACTCAACCCCAAAAATGCTGCCCAAACTTTATCAAAATATTAGCATCATTACACATCCTTCCATGAATCAATGTTTCAAGTTTATATGGAAAAAAGAACAACGAAATAGGAAAAAAAAAGTTGAGACTGGCCAAAAAGATATTTCTTGTAGTTCAGTTAGAATTTTGTGAACGATGGACATTTACGTTCCGAAGTAGAGTTGTATATTGTTATTATTTGGTGTGAAAAACAACGTTTAAAAAATTTAGTTTTGAACTTTGGTGGCGTTAGTGTATCTCTGAATCTTATATTTACTTTATGAATATGATATTACAGAAAAACATAAATATAATAAAATGACATCAAATAAATTTCATATGAACAATATGAATGATGAAAAATGAGAAATAAAAGTTCCTATTTTTTTTACCACTTGTATTTATAACTAACGTTACTGCAGTTTCGTCCTAGGAGGACATTTTTAAACATATACAACAAAGTGTAAAAGAAAATGATCTCATACGACGAAACTGTAGTTAGTTACAAATACATCAATTTATTGGAAGAATTTGAAAATTAGATTTCGATTTTTTTAACTCTAATTACATCTCTTTTTATATTTAATTTCTTGATAACTTTATGGGGAATCATATGATGACTAATGTGAAGCCAAAGCACCAAAAAACTTTGAAAATGTTGATTTAACCATGAATCCTTCCACATCTTATAATGGACGTTTGAATTCTTTGAAATATTCATAGAATGTTAACGTTAATGCCACAGTCATTTACGATATATACTTGATAGTTAGATTTTTTATGAGGCAAGTTATGTCAAAAATCAATAGTATTATGAAACAAGTCAAGGTATATCAATTCCGACATTTATAATTCGATATATGGATTCTTTTAATGAGTAGCAAACTTATAACTCAAAAACTTCATTCAAAGAAATGAAATACAACATTTTGAGGTCAATGCCAGCTCATTTTTCTTGACAGCAACTTGTATATTTCATTCCTTTTTTTTCTCATCGATTCGGCCGTTACTTGATGAAGATCCATAGTAATTTCAAAAACTACACCTTACGATTTGATATCCACAAACTTTATTTAAAAAACATATATACCACGACATGTTTCACTAACACTATAGTTTTTTCGTAGTTAATTAATTAATTATGTAGAATTGATGTAATATGCTTTGAGTGATCATAATTAAAGATGTATCTTAGGTATATAAAATTTGTAGATGTTTTAGATAATTTGATATAGTGAGTACCTACGTAGGTAGTCTTGATTGTGATTACGTAGGATATATAAATGACAGAGTAAGAATGAACTTTTAATACTTAATTCACTACGAAAAAGCAACTGTGTTAGCGAAACATGTCATGATACATATTTTTTAATGAAGTTTGTGGAGATCAAATCGTAAGATGTGGTTTATGAAATTTTTCATTACTGACTAAATCCCGCAAAAGCTGAAATAGGGGCTTACTAACATACTTATTTTTTTTAACTTCTGTGGTCTAATTCTCGAGTCATGACGTAATTATTTTGGGATAGTTGAATATGACGTCAGTTTCAATGGGAAAAGGATTCCCATGACCCTGGAGGTTGTGCAACGTTGGAAAAGATTCTGATATCAAAACATTACAGATACTTTATGCTTTTCTTGATCCAACGAGAATGGAGTGTTGAAATATTTTTTCAGAATCAACTGTGGGTATATAAAGGAAGTAATATTATCTGGGCTGTAATAAAAGAAAATCTAATTTATTTGATCATCAGAGTACCAAAACTCTCAGAAATATCGAATCGTATGTAATTTATTAATTCTATTGTGAAAATTGCTGAATAAAAACATGCTACAAAAAACTACAGGTCCAGATTTAAAATTTCGAAGTTGAGAATTGCTAGGCGACATCCTATGTAAAAATTCCTTGAGTACATTATGTTATCCCACTCTGAAAGTTCCAATGATAAAGTATTAACATATTTGAAATATCTCTGCAAATAAAGTTTTCAATTTCTTTTCCCCACTATGTCCAAAACCAAGAAAGCTATATTCGAGTCAATGGTATGTATTCTTGACAGAATAATTTGTTATTAGAGATAATATGCTATCAAATAAAACGAAAATAAAGTACGACGACGCGGGTCACCGATTATTTTGCAGCTGTTTTTAACGTCATCAGTTCCATTCGAGTAGTTCAGAAATGAAAATTGCTAACTCTAGATGTCAGATATCATATACACATAAAATTCAGTAACATATTTCTTTGAAGTTTATTCATTCTAATGCTAACGACATTTCATTCTGAGGAATGTAATCTGTAACACGTCCAAATAAAATCTTAAAGTTCTTTAATTGATTCTAATATGAAAGTAACATTATAACGTCGTGGAAATTACAGGCACTGAAAACCTATACATTTTTGGATTGACTTGAGTTATGAAACAGTTTTTCATTCAGAAATAAACATAAACATCCCTTATCTTGAAAATAATTATCGATGGATACAACTACATTCTACCGTTGCTAATTTTGATCTTTAATCGTAGAGTGAAACTTGTATTCACTGAAAATTTGTTGAAGTAGTGGAAATTGCACATTTGTCTCGTTTTGACGTAGCTTAATGACCTTCGATCTGTACGTAAAGGATAAAAAAATGGGCGGGTATGTATACCTGATAGAACATTCTTTCAAAGATAAAGTATCAACAAATGAAATAAAAATTGAATACGTTGAAGTTCTCGGAAATCAATTATCTATCATTTTCACTTCAGTGCTGCAGAAATTACTTTCTGGAACTTTGGACTTTGAATGATAACATATTCTTTGATATTTATCATACATTCTGATGTTTTTCTTCGGAGGACTTTCAATTTTCCATAATTATCAAATCTAAAATTTGTTATCTATGGTACTAATTTAAGACCTTCTGTGTGGAGGCGCTAGATTTGAAAGCCTAACACAGACACACAAAGTTTCGCTCTGTTTGTTTGATGATATGAGTTCGTTTTGATCCCAGAGATTCAACCTGAATGACAATAATCCATATTTCAGACAGTATTAACTTAAAGAAGGTTGAGGCATTCACACGAAAAGTAGTTTTATAATTTCTTTACCTATTCTGCAATAAATATATAAAAAGGAAACAAAGTATCTTAACGAAAACAAAAATGACTCCACGAAAATTGAAATATAGAAATTTAAACCATGTACATCAATTCTACATATACTTATGCCAAAATGTTTGGATATACTAAATCTTCTCCACTCGTGTGAAAGCCATAACAGTATTATTTGAGAGTATTGATTAGGCTAATACAGTGATTAGCACATCATCTTTTTTTTGTAGAAATCTTGAAATCCTTGACTCACTAACAGTTTTTTTGAGTTTGTTAAGAGTTTTGAGATCACAGTTATTACAGCATTGGTATGCATGTTCAAGAAATGTTAGGCTTTTATGAGTATGAGCTCAGCATACACAATTCAAATGTTTTATGTCTTGTACTGTACGATTTAACCATTTTACCAACCTTGGATACATTCAGATACATTTGGCTTTGAATAAATAATCTCTTTGTGATTTTACATCAGCATTAAAATTACTCGATTTCTCTCTACCAGATGTCTTTTGGAACTTTCGCATTTCCAAGTCATTTAAGACTTGACAGCTCTGCTTGGCTGTTCACATGAATGACAATAATATTATTTTTCGATGGCTTGAATTTCTTTTGCATACATTCTGGATTCCGACTGTTGAAGTATTATAGTTCAAAAAGTCAAACCTTATGTAAGTTAATTAATATTTTTCTCGAGAGAATTTATATGGTTGAAGCCGGAATGATTCTGCAACCGTGTTAGGAATCTCACGTTAAAAGGTAAGACCTCGTTAGTCCTTAGCTCGCACAAGTTTCTCAACTTCTGAGAGTTGTCGTTCGTATGGGGGCGACAGCTGATTAAGGGAAAAACAGATTAGATTAATTTTAAATAGGCTATTGAAGAATAAACTCAACTGGGAAAAATATTAAGCTTTGCTTTGATGTTATACTAGAAATGAAGTGTGGGCTACAAGAATGAAAAAACTTCAAAGTGGGAGAGTGAGAAAAAGAAACGTAGTAAAATTGAAAACAAAAATGGAAAAATACTAACCAGTTGTTATTTGGCAAGTTATTCTTGGTCAAGTGAAGTAGTAGGCAGAAACGAACGGAGGAAGTTTTAGGAATACCAAAACGGAAAGTAAAAGTAAATGTTAATAATCTTGTGAAAATTCCAGTTGACAAATCCAAAAATATCTATATGTTCATTAAAATAAACTATCTTGCCAACCTTATTCTATAACTGTAATCCTTCATGATAAGGAGTATTTTTGTTGGTGGATTATCGAAAGATAATGTCATATAACATATAGGAACATGAGTTTTATTACCTTGGAGTGACACGAGTTTGTACCCAATTTCATTATCGCAGTCTGTTGTTTTTGATCGTTCCTTTGTTTTTTTACCCACCGGCAAAAACCGTGCAGTCTAGAGAAAAATAATCTTGAGTATTTAATGTCTTGTTTTTCGGCAAAATTTTAATGAGCTGATTAAAGATAACCTCATGTCATAAAAACAGTTGGAAAAGTTTTCCATTAAATGTATCTGGTATTGAAAGCCAAACAAAATCGATCGCATATTTCATGGAATGATTTTAATTCTGCTTGACACGAAAATTAGCTTCTTGTTTGTTTTTCTTGATCACAAATGAAAAATTAATGGTATTGAAATGTAAAGTCTCACAAACTCAGCTCAAAACATAATTGTTTTTGAAAATTCTGTCGCATTCGTTAAGATTGAATGTAGAATAATAGCTAACGAACGAAAACTGATATCGATTTATTATTGTCTTCAGAAATATACTTTGTCTGTGAAAAATAGCCAATACAGTGTGAGAACGATCTAAAACGGGAAAGCGGTTTTCCGGCGACTTTTCGCATAAAAATCGTCTCCTATATCAAAAAAAAAAGTTTGTAGATAAAACCATGAATGCGTTAGATGGGTAATTGACGACCAAAAAGGTCGTTTGAAAAATTATTTTCCAAGCAAATGAAAATAATGGCAAAAAATATGTGATTTTAGTTTTTTTCAGAATCGAACTGAATAATATTGTTTGTGAAAAAAGTCTTCTACTTTTTCAGATATTTTGCATAGTACGGAAAATTAATCCAAATATATGAAACAGTTTTATAGAAAATTTTAAAAATATCGAAGGAAAAGTAACCTTTTTTGATTCCTAAACTTTTTTTGATCACAATTTTTTCTACGTTCTATTTAAACTGATTGTCTTGATTCCGAAATGAGATTCTAGATTAGAGAAATAATCCATACATTTTCTTTCCTTCAAGATCATACGTTTTCGAACATTGTGAATGTTTCATGAAAGTGATTAATGAAATATAATGAATGTTGAAAGCCTAAACAGTTACTATTTTTCTCCTGATGTGTTGATAATACAGATAATTATTATCTGGTATGTAACCTATGTTGAATACAGAATTATTGTTTTCATGTCATTTTTGCTCCATCATCAGAATATATTTCAAGATCAAATAGAGTTTACTTTAAATAAATGGCATTGTAAATGTAGCAGAAAAATGAACATCTCCCTACTTTATAATTTTTTGGGGTGTCCATTATTATTAGCAATTCTGTATTTATACAAACAACCTTTTCTCTCATGTAATCCTTCATTATGTTCCATATAGATGGCAGCACAAGATGTAACTATTGAATTCTCATTTTTCTGATAAAGGTGTAGCCTGTCACTGTCAGTAGTTAAGAAGCGTTTTGTATCAGTTTAATAAATAAAGTTTGCAGAAAAATGAACATCTCCCTACTTTATAATTTTTTGGGGTGTCCATTATTATTAGCAATTCTGTATTTATACAAACAACCTTTTCTCTCATGTGCTTTTTTAGTTGCATATATACCTTTTCTCTCATGTAATCCTTCATTATGTTCCATATAGATGGCAGCACAAGATGTAACTATTGAATTCTCATTTTTCTGATAAAGGAGTAGTCTGTCACTGTCAGCAGTTAAGAAGCGTTTTGTATCAGTTTAATAAATAAAGTTAATGTTCACAATCCCGAAATCCTGATCACTTACTATATTCAGCTCTGCATTATCCCATATCCATCAATGTCATTTTTTTTTCAATTTTAATAGTTTGTTTTGCAACATAAGCATGATAGATAACCCACGTAATCTGACTGCCCTATTATCGGCACTGTAAACAGTTTTCTCACGTATATGTGTTCTAATCATAGTCCTCCTTTTTGTTTTCATTGTTAGTAATATTTTTTCATTGCCCGTTCCGAGTTTCCATAGAAAATCAAACAATGTAACCTTGATAATATGATCTCATTAGATAAGAACACGAACACAGTTACCCAACTATAAATTAATTAATTGAAAGATGAAAATATTTTTGGTTCAAAAATATGACGAAACAATACCTACAACATAAAATTTAGAAAATCTATCAGGAATACATTTAAAATGACAAAATCAACTTCCAAAAGGGGCTTAAAATTCGCATAGTTGTAATTTGTAGATGATACTATTTATATAACTTGTTTTATTGATGACTATTTATTTTGTAGAAATTCATATTGAATATAGAATAAAGGAAATAACTTTTGTCTAATTTCTACTAAGTTTTTTATTTGTTATGACCGGTAACTAGTTATTTGAAAATGGTGTTATAAACCGAAACCGGTAAATAGTTATTTAAAAATGGTCTTATAAACCGAAACTGGCCGTAACAAATAATAAACTTAGTAGAAATTAGACAAAAGTTATTTTCTTTGTTCTATATAA